TAGTTCCCCTTAATATCCTCTTCTCAAGAGAGAATAAATTCAGTTCCACTAATCTTTCCTCATAGCTGAGCTCCTCCATGCCTCTTATCAGTTTAGTTGCCCTTCTCTGTACTTTCTCCAGTTCCCCAATGTTCTTTTTGTAAATTGGTGCCCAAAACTTAACTGCATATTCCAGATGAGGCCTTACTAATGATTTGTACAGGGATACAATTATCTCTCTCTCTGTACTCTATACCTCTTTTAATACAAGAGAGGATTTTGCTCGCTTTAGAAACCACAGCTTGGCATTGCATGCCATTATTAAGTTTGTGATCTACTAGAACTCCCAGATCCTTCTCCACCATTGATTACACCAGGTGTACTCCCCCTAGTATGTATGATGCATGCATATTCTTAGCCCCAAGTGCATAACCGTACATTTATCAACATTAAACTTCATTTCCCACATAGTTGCCCTGTTAAACAGTGCATTGAGGTCGGCTTGTAAGTTGGAGACATTCTGTAAGGACATTATTCCACTACAAAGTTTGGTGTCATCTGCAAAGACTGAAATGGTATTTTCAATCCCAGACCCTTTATCGTTTATAAATACATTAAAAAGTAAGGGTCCCAACACTGAACTTTGGGTTACACCACTGACAACCCTAGACCATTCAGAGTATGAATCATTAACCACTACTCACTGAATACGATCTTTTAGCCAGTTTTCAACCATTTACATACAGATTTTTTCAAACCTGTAGACTTTACCTTACACATTAGCCGTATATGGTGAACTGTGTCAAGTGCTTTTGCACAATCGAAGTATACCACGTCCTCCGCCACCCATTTGTCCAAGGTTTTGCTCACCGCCTTAAAAAGAAATCAGATTTGTTTGACAACTTCTGTCTTTCATGAATCCATGCTGTCTGTTGCGTAAAATATTTTTTTCCAGCAAGAACTCATGTATGTGGTCTTTTATTAAACTCTCCAGTGTCTTCCCAACTATAGAAGTTAAACTAACAGGTATATAATTACTAGGTAAAGATTTTGACCCCTTTTTAAATATTGGCACCACATTGGCCTTACGCCAATCCAGTGGTACTATGCCAGTCATTAAAGTGTCCCTAAAAATTAGAAACAATGGCTTGGAAATGACATAGAATTCTTTAAGGTCCCGTGGGTGTATGCCATACGGTCCAGGTGCTTTATTCACCTTTATTCTGTCTAAATATTTTTGGATCATATCAGTTGTGAGCCAATGTGGATCATCTGGAGCTGTGTCAATACCATGCCCATTATGGACAAGAGCTCCCCCATGCTCCTTTGTATATACAGAGCTGAGGAAGGTATTAAATAAATTTGCCGTCTCTTTGTCCTCAGTCACCCACTCTAGATTATTTTGTAAAGGGCCTACATGCTCGGACCGGACCTTTTTACTATTAATGTATTTAAAGAATTTTTGGGGGTTGGTCCTGCTATCTTTTGCAATCTGTCGTTTGTTTTCAATTTTTGCGCCCTTGAATTCCTTTTTGCATATTCTGTTACATTATTTGTAATGTTTAAATGATGATAGTGTTCCTTTATTTTTATATTTAATAAAAGCTCTTTTCTTATTATCTATAGCTTTTTTAACTTTGTCCGTAAGCCACATAGGTTTGATTTTTAGCCTTTTAAACTTGTTGCCCATGGGAATATATTTTGCAATGTGTTCACATACAGTCTTTTTGCAGAACTCCCATATCTGTGTTATGTTTAATGGTGCCAATGTTCCCTCCCAGTCTAAGTTTTGGAGAGCAGCTCTCAACCTTGAAAAATTAGCTCTCTTAAAATTGAGCATTTTTATTTTTCCCGTATGTGCTTGCTGTTTACAGCTAACAATAAATAAAATCATGTTATGGTCACTGCTACCCAGATGTTCTTTTATATGGACATTTGTAATAGGCCCTGCATGATTTGAGATTACCAGGTCCTATTTGGGGCCTCTATGAACTGTACCATAAAATTGTCCTGTAGTAGGTTTAAAAATGTTTGCCCTTTAACTGTTCCTGCAGTACCATTACTCCAGTCAATTTTCGGGTAGTTAAAATCCCCCATTATTATCACTGTCCCAGCCCTTGCAGCCCTTTATATCTGTGCAAGGAGCTGAGTCTCCACCTCCTCATTAACACTGGGAGGCCTATAACAAACTCCAATGATTACCTTTGTAGTACACACCCCCATGTGCAGTTCCAACCATAATGCTTTAGGCCTCATCACACTCTCCATCGACTAGGTCCTCTTTCACACTCGTTCTGAGATCACTTCTCACAGAGACAGACACAACCACCTTTCCTATTTACCCTGTCTCTCCAAAAGAGAACATAGTCAGGAATATTAATGGCACAGTCATGTGAAGAATGAAGCCAAGATTCAGCAATACCAATTAAATCATAGTTCTCTTCATGCACCAAAGCTTCCAACTCACCTATTTTGCTTCGCAGACTTCTGGAATTGGTGAACAAACACTTTAATTCATTGACACCTTGTTCACACATATTTTGCATATTTTTTATTTTCATACAAATGGTACCAATTCCACTGGTTGTTTGTAACATGGGAAACTTCTTATCATCTGCCATAGCCCTCTCCACATCTTTCCCCATTCCACCCACCAATAAGTACTGACCCCTGTCTGATCTGTCTACCCAGTTATAATTTAATTCTCCCTCCCTCCCTTCACCTCAATCCTCTCACTGTATGTGACCTGTACATTAACCCTTTCAACACCTCCTCCTTCTGTGTATGACCTTTGTGCATGTTGTTTAACCACCTCAAAATTGGCCTGTTTCTTTATTTCCACAATAGCTTGGCAAAAAAATTAAATCAACTTGGGCTGTCTACTTTGCATACATTGGTAATTTTTGGGGTTTGCACACTGAACTGGCATTCATATTTTAACAAAAAGAAACTGAAACAGGTTGTTTTTGGTATTTTTTCTAATAAATTGTAAAAAATAAATAAATGGTTATTAAAAAGACCCCAAATAATTATATCTCTACATTTTGTTTTTTTTAGTCTCAATGCCTATTGTACTGCTAAGCCTTTTGCAAGATATTTAGCCTTGTCTTTTCCCAATTAAAACTGATTTGACTAAAAACACCAAACAAAAGCTCTTTCTATCTCACAAAAACTCATAAAAAAATATCTAGGTTCATGATGCACAATGTTAGTCAAAGTATCATGGTATTGGAAAATGAAAAATGGTCTGCTGATAAAAGGTTAATACATGTTGGTAATCAAGAGGTTAAAAACTGAAAATCTTCACAAAGCATAGCTTTACACATAAGCTCCAAGGCTGATACTGAATTTCAGAAGATTTTGAATTTGGACACAATTTCACGGATTTGGATGGTCAAATCCACAATTCAGAGTTATTTAGATTTTTTTGGATTTGCAAAAAGCATCTGGGAAAAAGGGGCCAAAGGCTGTTTATGCATTATATCATCTTTTGCTAATGTCTGAGCACCCTTAGCTTGATTTTCAATGCCAACTAGTCCCAAATTTCTATCCTAATATATCTGAAAGAATTTTAAAGAAAGTGGCTTAGGCTGTTTTTGGCCCTATCATCTTATCACCAGTCCAAAATAATTCTGTACGATTTTGCACAATTTTCTGTTCTGTAATATACCCTTTTTAAAGCCTGGTTCAGATTTCTGCTTATTTCAAATGGATTTCTGGACTGGAAATTCAGAAAATCACAGGTTTGGCAATTTTTAAAAACTGATAGAACTTTCCATAAGCACACCCATCTCTAATGTGCACCAGTTGATGTGTTGGGCTTCAGTGAATGTAATATAATACATACTGGGATAAGAATGTAATAAAGTACGTATTGGGATAAAGTAAGTGTAATCTAATAAGTGAAAAAGGCATAGAAAAATAAAAAAGAGAAAAGGCATTGTGGCCAAAGCTTAAAGTGCATCTATACCCAAAACATTTTTTTTTAAGTTTTGGGTAGAGTGTGGAAGGTTAGAACCCCTGTCAGATTTTGCTGTCATCTGGGGTTCCAATAAAGAGATTTTAATTCACTTTGTGCTCCCAGGACAACCTTTAGCAGACAGGAAGTGTGGGAAAATCTGTAGTAGGAAAACAGACATGAGTAAAAAGTTGACTGAGATTCTAGCATACCCCTCCTTATTTTAAAAAAAAAAAAAAATCAGATTGTGTTGCCTTTAGAATGATTACCCCTCACTTTCTGTAATGTGGACAATCTTTTCACTAACAGGGAGTGAAACAATCTCTCCAATGCAGCCTTCGACTGCAATAGAACCTGATAGGAGTTCTAATCCTTCCCCACTCTAAACTGAAAAAACTATGTTCTACCTTAGATCCTCTTTAAAAAGGTCTAGTCTGAACAATATGCGCACACATAGCTATACACAAATTACATCTCCATCCTGTTGACCAGTGTTTGCTGCAGTTGCCCTTTAACCTTTTTGCTGTCAGGCTCTGCCTCCCATTTTTACACCTCTCCACACCTATGTGTTGCGGTTGTGAACAATCTTCAATTTGGTAACAGTAGTTACTTTGGTTACAGTGACAGATATCTTTAATGGCACTCCAACACACCTTGCCAGCTCACCCTACCACATTTGTGCTTTAGTAAATAACAATGGACAGATGTGAACCATCTCTATGTTTTGGTGATTTGCATTGGAAAAAAGGTTTAAGCTTGCTCATGCATTCAATATATATATATATTAAAGTACAAACAATAAAGAGATACTGTCACTTTGTCCATTCAGGCATTCATGTTTCATGTACATGTGCTGAAACAGGAAGTGTAATGAGGGACTGATTTGCAATAGATTGCATTTTTTTAATGGGGATATATATATATATATATATGAAAAAGAAAATTAAAAAATGTAAATAGTAACAGGGGAGGAAGGCGGTAATAAGGCTGATTAGGGCCATCTAAATGTTAATAAGGGGTTAAAAAGAAGAAACAAATGAAACAGAGTAAACGCAAATTGACAGTGCTACTTTGTATTTCTACTGAATCAAATCTGGGCAGTGTTTACAAACATTGCTCAGAGCCAGGGGCAAACTGACAACTCATGGGGCGCATGGGAAATAGGGGATCATGGGGCCCCTGTGTCTTTGCCCAAACTCAAAAAAGCCTATGAAAAGGTACCAGGGGCATCTCATGGGGCCCCCTACTGACCCCGGGCCCTCAATAGGGGATCATGGGGCCCCTGTGTCCTTGCCCAAACTCAAAAAAGCTATGAAAAAGGTACCAGGGGCATCTCATGGGGCCCCCTACTGATCCCGGGCCCTCGGGCAGTGCCCGAGTTTCCAAATGCTCAGTCCGCCCCTGCTCAGAGCCTCCATGTTTGACAGCAGCTGCACCTGCCATTGCTGTCTACCCATTCCATTGCTGTTAAGAGTCAGGGGAAGCAACAGGAGAGGAAAAGGAAAAGGGATGCTCCTCTGCTGCAACTCAGCACAGTACTAAAACCAGAAATGCTCATTACTGATCATTTCCAAATTTATTTCAACTAAATGAGATAGGTGAACATGACTGATGTGATCACTGATCTCCCCACACACGATTCTTATAGATTCATTCATATGATTGGCACTGGTAGCTGAAGATTTCACAGCTGAACAGAGACTCTGTGAATGTGATTATTTATCATATCACATTCATAGAGCAAGGCACAACAGCTTGACACAGGAAGTGTACCTTGCTCAGGTAGGATGTTGTCAATGTGGTTGGCAGCCATTTTGCTGTCAGATCACATTAATATACCTAAACACTTCTTTTTGGCTCATTGAGCTTGCAGAATGAAGTGCCTGTAATGCCAGGATCCAATGCAGATAGTCTTAGCATTGCTCAGAGCAGGAGATGAAGCACATAAAGGGGACACAGGCTGGAGAAGAAGAGAGGCTGAGGCAAAAAAGGGAGCACGAGCTTGAAAAGGACAATGAATGCAGATGTGGATATGACCAACTGCCATTTGTCAACTACATTTACAGATTTTTTTTTGGATGGGATTGACAGTTTGTTTATGGCACCATTTGAGTGTAAGTTCATGATTGCTGATATGACCATGAGCTTACAGCCTTTACCCACTTGACCTCCGGAAGATTTACCCCCTTCCGGACCAGGCCATTTTTTGCGATATGGCACTGCATTACTTTAACTGACAATTGCGAAGTTATGCAACAATGTACATTAATAGAAATGTATGTTATTTGTTTCCCAAAAATAGAGCTTTTGTTTGGTAGTATTTGATCACCTCTGGGTTTTTTATTTTTTGTGCTAACACAGACTTTTTTAACCACCTCCAATGGGTGCCTATGCCCGGCCCCAAGGCTGTGCAGCAGTGCAATTCTGTGATGGCTGTGTCTACAAATGGCAGTATATATACTGGATGTTTTTTTAATGCTAGTAATGGCGGTGATCAGCGACTTATAGTGGGACTGCGATATAGTCTGACACTAAGTTATACCTACTGACACTTTGTGTGAACAAGTGACACTAATATAGTAATCAGTGATAAAAATATACACTGTCACTGTATTAATGACACTGGCAGGAAAGGGGTTAAACATCTAGGGTGATCAAAGAGTTAATTGTGTGCCTAGCCAGCAATTTTGTGTTTACTATGTGCTGTTTTTACAAGGCAATCTGCTAAATTATATTCAGGGATCACCACTGACTGAACACAGTTCTGCCTGGTTTACATAGGCAGAGCTGTGTTCTATCAGTCTCCTCGGAGATCAATGGGTGCCGGCGCTCATCCATTGGTGGGCACCTGTTGATTGGCTTCTGCTGTGTTTACAGAAATATTTACAGAATAAGGGTATTACAAAGGAAAAATGAGAGACAATTTTGCAACAGAAAAACAAAACATATTTAGTTGTCAAGTTGTTCTGTGCGTTTGACAAAATTCAGTCAATGAGAATAAGATGGATCAGTGGCTCTCCTAGATCTTAACTGATGTTCCTTCTTTGATGATAAAAATAGAGCTCTAGACTGCCGATGCAGATCCTCTTTTCTAGCCCTTGAGGAGGATGTTGACAGAAATGATCTGACCAATGAGAAGGTCTGAGGAGTGGCCGATGGGGTGTCATAGGGTTTAGGAGCATGTAGTGGCCGCTCCCTAAAACACAGTTTTATACAGGTATTAATATCTTAGAATACTTACAGGTTGCATTCTGGAAACTTGTATATTATTGTCCAGCATAAAATTACCATTTAAATGAACATAAATATGATGGGTACCAGATGCCTATTTCACCTAGGAGAGGTAAGATGTTCAGCAAACCTCCAGTACCTTCTAATATAGTGGTGTTTGGGTTTGAAATGCTGCTAATTAGATGATACAGGTAAATATGTCTTTATTTTGGAGGTACTTTTATTATTTCAGGAGTTAAGACATACACTGAAGTTTTGATTCTCTAGGAAGATATAGACCAAAATATATAGTTCTAGCTAATTACCCTAGCTAAACTAATTATAATGGGGGATTAACTAGGACATTTATCTGCTTAAGATTATCAATTATTTAAGCTTGGACTTGGCATTTTTATTACAGTGAAACTGAGATGTGTATTGTGTTAATTTCTTTGAAGGGGATTATGATGTCTAAAAGGGTTACCTGTTGGCCATGCTTTGGTTTTGATGCTGGTTAATTTGGTGAAGAGGTTCTGCTGTGTCTATCAATATGCTGATAAGAATGTATGGAACGCAGCTAAAAGTTTGTTAATTGTACAGGTAGCCTTCCTGAAGTCATGTAAAGGGGATCGCTGCTGTGATCATATACTTCCTATCGACCTATGAATCCTGAACAACATGGATGGCCTGTGTCCTCTCACACAGCTTTTTGCAACGCTCAGTCCGCATTCTCATCACACTCAATGCTCGAGTGTTAATAATGCTGCTACCTCTTAAAATAACTTACCATTGGATTGTGTTGACCTTTAAAGAAAAAAATAAGTTTTATACCTTCAAAAAAATCTTAACGTAGCGAAAAGCCATTGAAAATGTCCCACACAGCACCTTACTTACTTTTCTGCAGCTTTAATAAAGTATCTGACCATTTATATCATCATACAAAATCACAGCTCTCCACTGCAAATCCCTTTCTTCACACAAGTTCTTTTATAGCACTGCTGACACAGGGATCACACAGTGTTAAGAAGAAATAATAAGATTTTACTTGAAGACTTCTTCAAAAACAATATGTTTCAATCACTAACTCAAAGCATAGTCTTCCTAAGTTACTAAAAGTAATGTTTTCTTTTGCAGGTTTACCCATTTTGATACCCTGTTCTGACACCCATATTTTTCTAAGGAAAAAAAGCCTATGCATAGCATGTCACTGCAGATGTTTCAGCATCTCTGCAGTATTTTGATTCTCGCTCACCCCTATAAAAGGAAACTGTAGTTTCTGGATTACTCTTACTGTAGGCTTTGCAAGGGAACAAATAAGTGACACAGAAAATGTGAGTTCATGTGTAGCAAGCTCTAGCATCAACAACGACACAGCAATATTGTAATATCATATGACCTATTTTCAAGAATTGAAGTGGTAGCACAATATCAAACAAGAATATCAAAAGCCAAAAAATATTTGGTGATGCAATTTTTTCCTTGTTTTTTTTATTTTTCGCTTTCAGAGTTTGTAAAGACCTCAAACCATACATTTTCTGAAAGCATAGGACCAGTAGAATATAAAAAATGTGTTACTCTAGACCCCAATATATTTGCACAAATATTTAATAAAGCAATGCTTTTACTAAGAATATACTAAAATCATTATTAAAACACACAAATATAACATAACTTAAATTCCTGCTAAATTCCCACTAAGGCCTTGTTCACATGAGGCATACTAAAGCGTATGCCCACGAAAGACTGTGTTTAAATGCATAGGGATGCACAGTTGTTCTGTGCATCCCCTTGGAAGTAATTAGGCTTTCTTGCTGTATACAGAGCTAAAAATGTAAATTTTCCTGCACTTTAACAGGGCAAATCAAGTTCCTCCCTCACTGTTTCTCTACAGGAAGACCTAAAAAAATGATTCAGCCACTGTGGGGAGCATCCCCCCAATTGCTACCAGAGTACTGCAGTTTGAGTGGAGTGACTATGTGTCCTTGGGCCTTGGATCCATGAACCTGTTTTTTTTTGTGGTGCCAGCACTACCTTAGACTTCACTGCGAAGGACACTGTCTATGTAGATAATTGCAAGTAGATGTTTGTGTTTTAGTCCGCATGCACACTGGACATTTTTACAGCTGCTGTTTTTGGCTTTTGGTGTTTTTTTGTACAGCCAGTAAACTCCCCAGTATGTTATCCTATGTGTCCATGCATACATAGGATTTAATCAGAGTCTTTTGGCAGGGACGTTTTTTGGCTGTAAAAAACCTCCAGAACTAGTGGGTTTCTACAGGAGTTTTTTAGCTGTAAAAACGGTCTAACGCAGAAAAATGCAGTAAAACAAAGCAAAATTTGGTGTTTTGGCCATTTTTTTTAGCAAAATCTTTTTTTGTGTAAAAAAAATACTAAAAAAAGCCAAACAATGTGTAAAAACATGGCTAAATGCTAATGCAAAAATGAAAAAAAAATTACTGAAAAACTCATGTTTTTAATGTGACTTTACACAGCTAATGCTACCAACGTTATTGAAATGCCCAGTGTGCTTGGAGCCTTATACTCTTTCCTGACTCCTAACTAGACTCTCTGGGGTAGATTTACTAAAAATGGTGCACTCGGAATCTGGTTCAGGAATTTGGTTCAGGTGTGCATAGTAGCCAATCAGCTTTTAACTTCAGCTTGTTCAATTAAGCTTTGACAATCAAACCTGGAAGCTGATTGGTTTCTATGCAAAGCTGCACCAGTTTTGGTAAATAACCCCCTCTGTTACTATAAAATCTTACAGAGACTATAGTAATCAACCATTTTTCTGACTGAACCACAGAAACATTGCTGTGAAAAGACGATGTTTGTGCAGCTCTCATAATGTATTTTGCATTAGTGCATGTATGCTCTTTCCTATCCTGAACCTGATTTCCATTATTGATTCTACCTTTGTACCTGCTTAGTAAACTGCAAGTTACACTTACTCCCTGTCTGATCATTCTACCAATTGCCTAATTGGTAATTTCAGGAATAAGTAGAATATGACCTGCTCCTGTTCATCACCAGCACTGTCAGATTGGGATGTGGAAACCAAGAATTGTGTCAATTTCAAGTGTTGACTTTCTCTCTCCACTCTCAGTAACCAAATGGAAAATAAAGAGAGAGAGAGAAACAACGGTAGCTATATGCAGTCAGGTGGGATGGCAGTTAAGTGAACCTATTGCTTTACCCTA